AGAAAAGTCGCACAAGTGTCATTATTCTTTAATTACGTAAAGTAGAAAGAGGCATATAAATCGCTAAATAAAGTTAGATAACCTCACGCGTCACGTGCGACGCAAAGGTACACGTAACTATGCGTTGTACAACGTATATACACATGTGGTGATCAAACAAGCCCCGAGGTGGTGATTATAACTAGTATATACCTTATACATGTATAGTAACGCTATATAGCTCGCAATATATATCGGGAGCAAGGTGAACGGCCAACCATTACGCGAACAGCTGATCCTCCGGTGACTTTCAATTTTCCCCGCTTATGGGACAAACGGTTCGTCCCGTTGTCAACGCTTACCTTGGATTAATTATTATGCTTTTCTGTTTTTTTTTCTTTCTTCCACGCGATCGATCGAAAAATCGGTACGCTGCAGCCGCGCGCGTGTCGCTGGAGTTTCAATTCAACTCCATCGCGTAATAAGTTTACGCGCGGAAAGAAGCTCGCGTAATCTTCCACATGTCATGTGCGCGTGTATCTCTCTCCGTGTGTTACCGTACTGCGGAGGGAGAGATTTCAGTGCACGGAGTTGCTGGGGGAGGGAGAAATCGGCGCAATTGCGATTTATTTACGCCGCGTGCGGCTGTCGATATTGACCATCACTATACATACATACGAGCGTGTTATATGTTGCAAGTATATATTTATACGTACAGGCATGTGCTCTCGGTAAGTATAATGAATGTACTATCGCGCCAAGAGGGGAATGTAATTATGTTTTGAAGTTGTGCGATACGTGCGATGCGAGGCGCACATTGTGTTTGAGGGTCTCCGTGGACTTGGACAGTGCTTTCATTGAATTTATGTAGTATGTTTACAACGTTCTCTCGCTAAAAATTCTCGAGTTTTTTATGAACCAAAAAGTTTGGTCAACTCATTATGTATATACCATTACAGCCACAACTCGCCAATAAACTAATATAGTAGTTGTCGAAAGGTTTGTTGAACCAAGTAAGTGATCGTCATTTCGTTTTTTAGCATCGCTCGTATAATTAAAACTTTGGGTGTTTCATTAAAAATCCATTTGTGCAAATCGCTCGAATAAAAAAATAAAAAAAAAGCATATTGTGTGTACTTGCAGCTCAAAGACCGGAAATATAAATATATCGCGTCGAAACTTGCCGCGAGAGATAAGGTGTTGGTACAGCTGGTACGTACTTTATACGTGCATTAATTTATTTATGAGGACCCGCAAAATGAGTTTTTCGTCGAGAGAGAGAGAGAGAGAGAAGTTTCATGTACTCTTGTGACATTTTCGATGGGAGTGGCACAAATATAATTATGTCGGGGTATCGTGTATGATATTGTCATTACTTAGACACGCTGTGACGTTATCGCATCGGAGACGAAATTCCTCTTTATCGATGATTTAAACGTCGATACAACACTCCCGTACAATAAAACGCGATAATGACCTATCGTTGTATTCGTTATCAACTGCTCGATTCTGATGTTGTTTTTTTTTTCCTCGAAAACATGTTTTTTTAGTAGTTTAATTTTTTTTTCTCCATCGCAAATTAAGTTGTTAAAAATCCATTAATCAAACTAATGTATCCAAGAAAAGCGATAAAGACCCAAATACCGAAGCTATATAATATGTAAAGACATTCGATCGAGAGAAAAACCATTAGATCACAGTTCCACTTTGAGTCTACAAGTATGTAAGCTTGAAACAGCGATCCAGCTCAAATTCAAGATAAACACGCACAGCAAGCTGTACCTATACATATACTTACAATACATACTCGCTGTTGAGTGTAATAAGTCTTTCGTGCGTGCGTGAGCGCGGTGTATATATGCCTACCGGCAATTTCCGCGTGTGCGCCAGCAGCGAGAAAAAAAAAACAAAAAAACGGAAAAATATATAAAGAACGCGTGGGTGCGCGGAGCTTGTATTATAGGATCAGCCATCGCCGTGCGGGCCATAGCGTATACACACGAGTGTAATTTTAGCGATGACACTTGCCCCCGCGGCACGTATATATACTTATGTATGCGCGACGTCACCGAAAGAATCCGTGTATCGTATATCCATAATCCCATCTCTTATTTGATTTTTTTAGTTTTTTTATCCGTTGGGTGAAACAGATGCGTATACATACCTGATGTTTAGCTGTTCTCGATCTTCGATCTGTCAGACAGGCGATCGGTACATACACTTATACCTATACACTTTTGTTGACCGGTCGTTCTTCGGCTCTTACCAAGTACTCTATTTTAGTTTGTTTTGTTGGATGTAAGTATAGCGTGAGAGCGAGTTCATCAACACGCCTGTCTTGAAATTGACCTCTTTTCCCTTCCGTCAGTATATAGCTCATCCCGATCATTTGATTAAATTCTTCGCCCATATACTTACTATATAGTGTTCGTTGGTGACAAGTGTTACCTATATATTTTACTAATATGTTTGGAATCACGAAAAAAGAAAAAAAAAAGAATCCATCGCCCGATCTTCCAGTTAAAGTCCAACGGAATAAATACATCACGCTTTATTTTCAAAGCAGAGTCCACGTTTTGTTTTCCTCCTCTCACTTTTTCCTCGAGTATAAATTGAGGGACGCATATATATGTATATAAATTAGCTCAGAGATTTGCACTTTGCTTTTGGAGGGAAATCGCTTGTAACCATTTATAAATGTATATATATGTACACTCCGCGTATAATTTTCTCCCGCAGCTCTTCGGCTCGACCTTCACGAGAGAGAGAGAGAGAGAGAGATCCAGATGAGTGAGCGCAAATTTAGCAATGATAGCATCATCGTCGTCCAGTCCAGTTCTCGTACGCGGAGACTCTGCAGCCACTCTATGGATCCCTCGATGGGCTTTTGCTTTATACATATATTCAAGTGTATTTTAACGATGCACTCATCGGCTCGGGGTGTTTGATGTTCAGTTTTTCCTCGAGTTTTTCCAACGAAATATATTATTGTTTATTCGACTTGTTGCCGAGTGATAGATACGTCGCTGGTGATATGGTCCCCCCCTACGGGATACACGTAATTTTTACTCGTTTAAAAATAAAAATGCAGTTTTTATTCAAAATTGATATATTCGGCGTCACTATATAGATAAACATTGGTACACGCAAAGTCGTTTCGATTTTTCTAAAAGACGTACAATTGAATTCGAGTGTAGCTGCTCTAATAATCATTTTTTTAGCCCACGGATCGAACAATTGAGCCAATGTGTATAATATAGTACATGCTGTTTCTCAAGCACAACAATTACGGAGCCAAGTGTGAATTGCGCAAACGGCAAATTGAGTAGCACTTTGTCGTCCCCACCTGAATACATAATTACTACCTTTTTTTTTTCCTCAATCTGAGAATCGACAGCGTCGAAAAAAAAAAAAAAAAAAAAAAAAACTAAAAATATACGTATACGCGTTACGTGCAGAAACGATACTCGATGTCCAATTGCGCCGATGATGCCATGTGCGCGTACACGTGTACGTGTATACTCGCATACGCAGGTATATACTTATGAATGTGTGCGTGAATTGTAAAACGAAACGCATAAACCCGAGCGCAAATAAGCCTTTTTATCCCGTGAAACGATAAGAACTTGGTTATCGAGCCTCCGTATCGTATGTAGACTTTTACCCGTACGAGTCGCCATTTGATAAGTACGTCCGACGACAAATAATAACATCACCCGCTGGAACGGCTGAGGTTACATGGATATACATATACAACCTACCATGAAAATATAGTTGGAACACAATTGTGGCGCGTTTGTTTCGTTTTGTCGCTTTTCTTTCCCAGCGACACACGCTGCTGTAGATTGGCCCTCAGGGATTTAACTTTGTTTTCTGATTTTTCACCGTAGAGTCATTCTCGAAAGATTCAGCTATTGAGTATAGCAAAGATTAAAACATCTCAAGTTACATTTTACAAATCGTTCTGGACAATAAAAAAAATGTACGACTTTTTATATATTTTGCATGATTGTGAGGAAGAACAAGGGATTCGAGCGACTGGTGTATAAGATGCATTTTGCACGTATAGTTGTACTCATTGGAAAATAGTGAAAACAAATTAGACATCATCCAATCGTGAAGCAATGATGCGTGGGGTGGCGTGTCGATGACATTTAGTTTGAATTAATGTACCGTTGAAAAACTGTTTGGTTTTTATATGATCGATTTCTTGTTATTCTTGAGTCATGTAAAAAAAAAAAAAAAAAAAAAATATACGATCCCAGAAAGGGTATCTGTGTACGAATATTCTCACATACCCGTATTTACGAACGAAATATATAGAACGGCAGTCGAGAGGGAGGGTAAATTAAGTTTGTTCATCTGTCGCTGGCTCGCCCGAAGGGCCTTTCCGCACTTCTCTTCACCGTTTTGTTTTTCCTTCGCCCCGACTTTTTTTTTTGGTCCCCCATCGATTTCTCCCTCGAAGCACGGAGCCACGACAATTGTAGTCCGTGCAACGTGGAAGCCGATAAATATTGTATCGGTGAAGGTTTGCCGGGGGCTCCTTTTTTTCCGGCGCTATTCTCGAGTTTCCTGGTCGTCCCTCCTTTCGCGTGGGTATATTATTTACTCGCGTTAACGGTAGACGCGAGAATTGGGCGCTGTGTGATTTAGTCCAACTCGCGTTTTGGAAAAAACAAGCGATCTTCACCTCTACGTAACATCACCGGACCACAAACAGAATTTTGTTGTAGCATATTGCATTTTACACGTTTCGCCCGGAAAAATATGCTTTGGGTTTTTCAAGCAACATAATTATATTTATGATGGAGTACACCTATAGGTACCAAATATAGTATCTTTCATAATTCCCTTTGTAAGCGATTGTGTGCCAAACATGATGGCAACATAAAAGTAAAATCAGTACTTAAAAAATAAGAATGAAAAAAGAAAAAAATAAAAATTAACTTCCGGTACACGCGTGAAAAAAAAAAAAAAAAACCAAACTAACATGTATCTTTTTTGTTCTGTTTAAGCAGCTGCTCTCGTCACTGGACGGCCTGCACAGCGGCGTGCCGACGCGCACAACGCCGACCCTGACCCCGACGACGCTTCGCACGATCGAGCAGACCTTCCTCGAGTTCACGAACGAGCCCGTGTCCCACAGCCGCGAGGCCGGCTTCGTGCCACCTCTGATCGAGCCATCGCAGCCCACCCCCGCCCAGACCCAAAACAGCGCCATTCAGCACCACCACCATCAACAACAACAACAACAACAACAACTCCAGCCGACCAACGTGCTGGTCGAGGTGCAGCAGTTGCACCAACAGCCTCAGCCACAGCCTCAGCAACAGCAACAACAGCTGCTGCAGCAACAGTCGCCACCACCACAGCCACAGGAGCAGCAGCCACAGCCCTCGAGGCGTAACATGGGTGGGAGGAGGCCTACGAGGACCGTCGGTATGACGCCCGAGGAGGAGGAGAGACGTCAAGTTCGCAGAGAACGCAACAAGCTGGCTGCAGCCAGATGCCGCAAGAGGAGGATGGACCACACCAACGCCCTACTCATTGTAAGTCTTTGTTGTCACTATTATTATTATTAATTTGGTGCTGCTTATATATATATATGTGTGATACTCGGACGCGAAAACTTTACTTGTCGCACGATTAGTGGTCATTTTTTTTTTTTAGCCATATACACACATACCTATACATGTAATTTGCATCACTAAACGCGCTTTTGATGGAAAGAAAATGGCAACAAGTTTTTGCACGTTAATTACGTAACGCTTCGTGGGTGATTTGCGGCGGGTAGACGTTTATAATTTATGTGGGACGAGAGATAATGAATTTCTTGCGAATGACCCTGGTTACAGGAAACCGAGGGCTTGGAACAGAAGAAACAGTGCTTGCAGGAGGAAATCCAGAACTTGCAGGCGGAAAGGGACGAGCTCGAGTTCATGCTGGAGACGCATCGGCCGGTCTGCACCCGTCGGCAGACTTCGTCCCCGCCCGACATCAAGCCCATCATCGTCCCCGACATCGAAACCAACTCCGAGCTCCACTCCGAACAGTTCTCCGACCTGCCCTGCAACAACGGCCTCGTCATCAAACAACTCCACCATCATCAGCACCAACAACAACAACAACACCACCAAAACGATAATGGCAACTTGTGCAACGGCGGTGGTTCGCGGCCAAACCGGCCAAACTCCCTGCCCATGGGCTTTGTCGACGTAGCGGGCCAGCGACCCAATTCCCTGCCCATCTTTACCGAGCCCAAGTCCAGGCCCTCGAGCCTCCAGTTCAAAGCCGCCGAGACGCCGACTTTTATGAAGACGATCTCCGAAGTGGCCGGTGTGCCCATAACCACGCCCTCGACCGGTATACCCTTCAACTTTGATTCCCTCATGGAGGGCGGTACGGGGCTCACGCCGGTCTCGACGCCCCTCGTGCCCTCGTGCTCGAACCAGCAGAGGAACAACCTCATGAGCAACAGCTCCGCGACGACCGGCATGTCCGCCGTCGACCTTAGCTCTCCCGATGCCAATCCGCCCAAACTCGTGAGCTTGTGACGTCAGGTCAAACAGGCCGACGACGAGGACGTCGATGATGTCTACTACGAGGAAGACTACTACGACGAAGACGACGACTCGGCGCTCGTCACGTTCGAGGACATGGAGTACGGGTCGCACGACGATGATCCCGAGTGAGCGCGCGCGCACTGATTTCTCTCTCTAATCAAACAACTCTCTAATATATAAGTCCCCTCATGCATATTATTATCATTATTATTATTATTATTATTATTATTATTATTATTATTATTATTATACGTTTATATTCCTGTGTAAGAGCTATACCCTTCTTCTCACTGTAATGAGCCGATCGTTCTCGTTCTCGTTAGTTCATTCTCGACAGTGGCGTCGAGCTCGAGACGTTGCCATATATACATTTGATTTTGTACTTTTTTTTTTTTTTTTTTTTTTTTTCTGTGCACTCCTTCGTCTTGGAGCTGCAAACAGTACATAGAAGAAGAAGGGTATACTATTAGGAGTTTTTTCTTAACCCGCGAAATGATAATCGCGATTGGTCGGATAAAGATACTCTTGCGCGATGTAATGTCAACTGGTGGCTGTATCGATGAGTCCAAAATGCTCTTAAACTCGCTCGTCGTTGCGCCGAGATTCCTGAATTATGAATTATTTATCGAAGCAATGTTCAGCGAGACTCTTCGCTACAGTTGCAAGGTGATACAATGTTGCGCGATTATAACTTTTTAGCTGCATCGAAAAAGAAACAGCGCAGCTGTTGTAACGAATGCTCGATTGTTGCTTTGTTCGATAATATTGCGTACCTCTTGTGTGAGAAAAATATTAATATTGTCTTTGCAATGGCGTCAAGATGCAACATTGTGGACGTGTCAATTTTTCAGTATTGTACTTTGAAAAACGAGTAACAAGATTGCTTTACTTGAGCAATAAAGTTTTTTTAAATTGTAAGAATTAGAAAAAAAAGAAAAAAAAGACACGAAAAAATGTCCAAGTCCTTTTCTAGTTGAGTGCAAAGTTTCTCACAGAGTTGAGATTCATTCGCAAATAAAAGGAAAAAACTATTTTGTGCTAAGTGATAAGAAGCAAAATAATGAAAAAAAAAATTTTTAATGCAACGAAACAAAAAAAAAACAAATCTTAAAAACGAAGTAATTATATCAAGTAAGATTTTTGTCATTTCTTAAGATAAGGGAGTTTTTATATTTTTAAACTACGTATATAGCACGACGAGCTAATAATTTTGTAAGAAAAGATAAATTTAGCTCAAGGTTAATCTTAGCTGGTAAGAAACTACGAATGAAAGTATAAAAATTTTGTCAAAACCGAGTGACAAATTTGTCTTACAAAGTGCTACAATTACTGATTAATATGCAATGTGAAATGAACATAAAGTTATTTTTTATGAGCGTAGTTTTGTTCACAAGGTTCTCACTTGTGTCGATTTCGTCTCGTCACACACAACGCAATCAATGCGTTTGTATGTCTTGACGAGTATAACGTATATAACGTTTAAATAATCTTTTTATATAATACCTTACAAACATATTGTTGATGTACGAGAACTTTAAGCATGACCTTGAGCAATATTAATATATATTTAACTAATTTTTTGTGTGATTACGTACTTGCAACACGTCGATGTTCCCTGGAAATATATATACACATATATATTAGATAAAAAAAAATTACAAGATTCGAAGAGCTTCTCAATAGTGTCGCTAGCGATCTCTTCTCTTTTTACTTTTGTAATCTTACAGGGACATCGATTTTTGCAGTACGCTGCCTGAGAGATTAATGATGATTGTGTAATTAAAACTGTAAGTTGCCATGAGCGATGCAATAAATTTTGTAGAAAAGTTCGAGTAGCCAATAAAAGGCCATGAAGTTATTAAGCATCGATTAAAATTTATTTATCTGACCTATACCTACACTGTATCGTTAGCCATACGCCATAAATCATATCAAATAAATTGTAAATCTGTATACATGAGCCAAACAATAAACAATATCAAAAGAAAAAAAAAATTAACCATGAGAACAACTATATTTTTTATTTACAGTACCGAAGAAGATTTACAATTACTTAAAACTCACTATTTATTTACAGATTAAATCATGGTTTCGCTTAATTTTTCTTCAAAAACCAGTTATTCTTTTAATTGCATCTTGCTCAGCAAGCGAATTCATTTGCTGGTAATGACTAAATTCCATTGCAAACGTAGAATGGCCGGACGTCATTATTCGAAGTTGCGTCGAGTATCCCAGTAATTCCGACAACGGAACCAGACACGATATTATTTTATTTCGTCCTCTTACATCTATCGTTTTAATTTCTCCTCTGCGTTTTGACAAATCTCCAAGAACACCCGCTGACTTTTCCTCCAGAGTAACCACCTCAACGTTCATGATTGGCTCCAGCAATATCGAACCACTTTTTTTCATTAGCTGCAAAAATTAAATTAATATTAGCACAGAATAAACATTTCTAAATATTTTGATGAGTATATATATATATATATATATATACACATGCGTGCAAATGCATAATAACAATTGACTGCACGTATTATTTGACATTTGGCAAAATCCTCCAAATTCAATGTTAAGGTTGTACCGTCAAAATTAATTCGTGATGTGAAAAATAGAAAAGTAAAAAGAAAAAAAAATTGAAAAAAAAAAATTCAACAAATGCAGGGTGGATATCTATCATTGTTGAGCAGTACCGGGGATAAGCCACTAGAATACTGGAGCAAACAGAAATCAAGAACAGGATCGATCCAACGAGTCCTCGACAAAGAACTCAACGAACGCGTAAGTTTAGCTAAATGATTAGCGAAATGTATTTTGGCGAATAAACGAATTTCCGTGTCTGTTGGGGGGAAAAACAAAAAATAAAACAACAAAGGTTTTGGAAATCCAAGATGTCGAAGACGCAAATTGCCAAAAGACCTGGATCATGTGTCCGCCCGCTACCGATCAAATTCTCGACGTCAAGCTACCCGTACTCGTGATAATACTAAAGAGCCTGCAGTCCCACTTGTTGATACAACTGCAAGTGGCCGACAAGGATGACATCCGCCACTTGATCAACCTGACGAACGTCGAGGCGAGCAAAAAGAAGACGGAGGCCAAAACGGTGATCAGCCCACTGAAGATGCACCTGGCGCTCGAGCCCGGCTGGAACAAACTCGAGTTGGACCTCGGCCAGCTGTGCAAGGTGTTTGGGGCGCGGTTCGGCGCGGTGACGAGGCTCAAGATATGCGCCAACTGCAGGATACGCAGGCTTCACTTCCTCGACAGGCACTACGAAGACGATGAGGTGTCGGTAGCGCTGTACCAGGGCTTTTTAGACCACTACATGTCCAAATGGGGCATCAGGGCGATCGAGCGGGCGACGCAGACCAAAAAAACGCTCGGCAAGCCCGGGAAGGACGCCATCGCCCCTACCGTCAATACACTTACCAAATTGTTCCTGAAGAGCATCCAGTCCAAATCGGACAGGGCGATAGACCAGCACATGTCGAGGAACCCGCTGGTGACACCCAAGGATTACGTCGAGTTCAAGAGAAAGGCCAAAATCAAGCCCTACGCCATCCCGGACAAAAGTAAGCTCAAGGGGAAGAAGAGCTCGGAGTCGAATTGGGACCTGAGCCAGATCAGAGACAGTTTCAAGCAGTATGAAAGCCTGAACTTGTACGAAAAGTCAGCTGTCAAGGAGAAACCCGAAAAGAAGCCTGACACTGCGGTGCCCGCAACGTTTGTCGAGAAGCAGGAAATTAAGAACTTGATGTACAAAGTTTACAGGTATAGGTACCCGGTGTTGACGGACACGAAGCCGAGCGAAGCCAAAAAGGAAGTTCCAACCACAAAATATTCTGTCGTGAAGAAATAAAACTATTTAGTTTAATTATTTTGTTAAATCATTAATATTACCTGTCTCAAACATTGAGTCACGGCAGCAGAGACGATGGACTCTGATGTTCCTGATTTGACTTGGAAAAGGTGCAGCTTGGCGGCGGTGTTGACGATGGGACAGCTTAACTTTGGTCCGCTTGAGAAAGCTGTCGTGACGCCTTTTTTAATGGCAAGCATGTACTTTTGCTGTATAGCTGCTATGTTGGAAGCACAATCCTTGCCGTGATCAAGAATGAGCTGGTCCTTACCCTTGTAATCTGGAACCACTGAGAACGTCATGGAAACTTCATGCTTGGAATTGGCGATTTCGTGCTGAGCGACGTACATGTCTTTTACTGGATTTACAATAGTTTCCTTATAAGCTATTTGCAATTCTCCCAATTCCACGTCAATTTTGTACTCCCTTCGTACTCTTTCTTTTATAATATCAATGTGCAGTTCGCCCATTCCACCTAAAATTATTTGGTCATTTTCAGAGTCGTAATTAACTCGCAGACTGGGATCTTCTATCTCTAGTTCTTGAAGAGCTGACTCTAAAGGCGCAACATAAGTCAGGGAAGGCGGTTCTATGGAACAGAAGAAAACAGGATCTGGTACACTTGTTCCAATAGAAAATAACTTTTCTACATCTCCAGGGCATAGGGAGCCACTGGTTGTCACTTGTTTTTTGACACCACTTGCTACAGAGCTGGAATTCGTCAGTAGATCTCCCGTAACTGTGTACTTCAAGCCTGTAAGAGCTGCAATGTTACCCGCGCCTACCTCTGAAATTTCCTCGTAATCGTCGGCATAGGCTGCGTAAAGTTTTGCACTCATTTCAGTTTTATCCCTTTGAACGTTGTAGATTTTCTGATTTTTTGACAGTGATCCTGTGTACACTCTAAAAAATGTAATCCGACCTTTCTGCTTGTCATGGATGATTTTGAATACTCTGGCTGACAAATGTTTACCAAAACTCCTGTACAATTTTGCTAACTGATTCTGATTTGGAGTTGGGAGGTATAGTATTACTCCATCCATTAGAGATTGAACACCAATATTTTTGTAAGAACTGCCCAGTAGCACTGGAACCCCTTTACGCGATACTGTTGCCCTGTACAAAGAATCAACTAGAGCTTGAGGAGGTACCTTGTCCAACGAGTCCTGTTCAATAATTGTATTTGCCAGTTCATCATCTACACCAGACAACTTGTCAGTAAGATATCTCCTTTGCTCTATAGCTTCTTCCAAAAGTTCTGAATTTTCATCATCAACAAGTTGCGTCTTTGTAACAGTTCTCCCTCGTGCCTTCTTATCGAAAATAACTTTTTCCAGAGTGATCACATCAATCAACCCTGCTAACCCATTTTTATCTTTAAAAGGCATATGCACTGGAAACGTGACAGCATCCAATCTCGATTCCATAGATTTTAAGCACATCTGAAAATCGGCATCAGGCCTGTCCATCTTATTCACATAAACTATTCTAGGCAAGAAATATCTATCAGCTTGTCTCCAAACGGTTAGTGTCTGAGCTTCAACTCCAGCACTGCCATCGAGCACAACGACCACTCCATCCAACACTCCAAGAGTTTGTTCTACACCCATAGTAAAATCTATATGACCAGGGGTATCTATTAAATTAAACCTATGGTTCTTCCAACTAAAAGTAACAGCTGCAGAGCAAATTGTTATTCCTCGCTGTCGTTCTTGATCCATAAAGTCTGTAACTGTACTTCCTTCGTGAACTTCACCCATTTGCTCTATGGTGCCAGAATAGTACAACATGCGCTCCGTTGTTGTTGTTTTTCCTAAAAAATTGATTTTTAATTATTAATTATTAATGTGACCACAGCTATTTGACTGGTACAAAATACTACTCATAAATAGGTTATAACACTGTTGGTATTTTTACTTGACAAATCAATCAGTACAAACGAAAAACGTTCTCCTAAATCGCATGAAAATTAAACGTTCATTAATAATTTTTTATAAATACGTACCGGCGTCTATGTGGGCGAGTATACCGATGTTTCGTATACTTTCGATGTCGCATTTTTCACTAGCAACTTGCACTGCACTTTTTTGATGCAACGAACACTTGCGAATTTCATAAATACATGTCCTTATAACATTTCTAAACAGCATTATAATAAGGTAATTTGGTTTGGTAAAATTGACACTCTCTGTCAATTAAAGGGACATTCTTATCGTTGCATCACTGTTCATAACTACATAAACACACGTGGAACTATATATATATATATATATGCTATATCTAGATGAAAAGGCAGACCGTGTTTTTCAGCCCTTATAAATAGCAAAAAGAGATAGGAAAAATTAATAAAGAACAAATTTTATTATAATTATAAAAACAGCATTCTTTTTAATGATTATATAAAACAGTTTAAACATTTTTGGATTCCCCTTAATTTAATAATATCTCTGTTTAATTGTGTTTTCATCGTAGTAAGTGTTTAGTCCTTTCCACAAACGTTTGTGCCTTGGCTTAAGACTACCTAGCAAACCTGGAAGCAATAAATATATTTTATCACATGTACATGGGAAAACTCTAACAAATTTATTATGTCCATACATGTGTATAGCACAGTAAAAAAGGTGATAGTAGTTTATTCAAGTGAAGCTGGATACATTTTTGGATCTACGTTTATTAAGCTGCAAGCTTATATTTTGAAAGGACTAGACAGTTAGCTTGTACCAACCTTATATAAACGTAGGAGGAAAATGAGGGTTGCTGCTAGTAAATAAAGCTTACCTGCTCTACGAGCCATTTCAACCATGATACCAACTCGTTTTTGCTGGATATTACATAAACCAGTTATTCTGCGGGGTAGCATGCAGCCATCTTTCCTTAAGAACTGCTTGAGTATCAAAACATCCTACAATATCAAAAGTAAAATGTAACAAGTGTCATGTTTGAAATTTACACATATTACAATAAACACTTACTGTGTACTTTAAATCAACGTTAGTAGAGCAGAGAGAACATGCTCCGTTTCCTTTAGGCTTCAAAAATAAGTTTTCTTTTTCTTGGGGCACATAAACAGCTTCCACTATCGTTGTGTTACCTATTTTGGTTTCTCGTACTGTACACAATCAGAACAATTTAATCGACATTCGCATAAAATAGATTTCAAACGATTTATATAGTAATGAAACTTGATGTTCCAAACACTTTGTTTTAATAAACAAAAGATCATACAAAAGATGCACACTTACTTTCTTTTAAATTTCTTGCTGCGGACAAGGAAATACTTCGGAGCTGATCGAACTGCAATAGATTCTTTCGAAAATTTACTAATAATCGTGAGACAGACATTATTCACTTTTTAATCACCTCTCCATCATCAGTACAAAAAAAGATCTCTACTGCAATTAACAATCACAAAGGCAGGGGTCAGGGGCTGTGTATTCCGCAAATGCTGCCAGCAGAAGTTACGTAGGTCGTGGTAACGCCGCATGGTCGGACGGCGCTAGCGTCAACCTGTGGCACTGCTGGCAGCAATGGCAGCATTTGCGGAATACAGCCAGGATTGGTCAGGTTAATGTGAGGGACTATATACCTAACCTTACGTATTTCGGAGCAGTCGGAGTCCGGAGTCCTCGGACTCCTCGGAGCCCTTTTTTTAAAATTTGCTCCGAATTCACACATTATTTTGTTAAAATGTTTTAATTAAACGTTATTTAGGGGCCACGATAATTTATTATACTGAAAAACAAAAGCTTCACCGCTCAAAATTTTGAAAATTAAAAAAGTCATCTGTAAGGTGCAAGCTTATTGGAGCTTTCCACCGGAGCCCACCAGCCCATCCCTGTAGTATAGTAAAATGAGACGCAGCAGCGGCGACAACGACGTGGCCTCACGTCTCGAGTTTACCGCAGCTGCTCCGCTGTCGTGATTCTCGCAAAAATCTCGTCAAGTCGGTTCTTAAAGTGGTAGACGTGCAAAAGTTAGAAATATTATTATCTAGTTTAAAACAATAAGGCCATGTGAAAAAATCTGATTGTTCGTTTTCATCTACTTTGATCACAAAATAACAAAGTCTGTTGTTTTGTCTGAATGTAGTTGGGTGTGTGTGTGTTTGGGTACTGAAGGCATATTGCCGGACGATAACAAAATTAATTATAAATCATGGGGCTGTGCAAGTGTCCGAAACGTAAAGTCACCAATCAATTCTGCTTCGAGCATTGCGTCAATGTATGCGAGAATTGCATGGTTACAAATCATCCTAAAGTAAGTGTTTGCTTATTTATTTACTCATTTATTTTTAGAACGTGTGATCTTTCGTATTTTTTTCGTTGCTCGTTTTCCCCTCTGTGCTTTGGTGTATTTTGATTTTCAATAATTATACTCAGTATAACTATGCAGTGCCTTAGTTCTTGAGCTGTGAACACTTGTCATAGCGACTAATCATCTGTTTTTTTTAGTGCGTTATCCAGTCCTACTTGCAATGGCTGCAAGACAGCGATTGCAACCCAATCTGTACATTTTGCAACGAGAGCCTTAGCAATAGGGAGTGTTGTAGATTAACCTGTTATCATGTTTACCATTGGGCCTGCCTTGATGACCACTGCAGAAGCCTGCCAGAGTCCCAGAGTTCATCCAATTATGTTTGCCCAGCCTGTACTACTCGCATAATTCCACAACCAAATCTGGTATCTCCAGTGGCTGACGTACTCAGAGAGAAACTGGCTGGCGTCAATTGGGCAAGATCTGCTCAAGGGCTCCCTTTGGTACATATTTAAATTGAGTCATCTTCTAAAAAAGGAATTCTTTTGATAAACATATTTTTATTTTTAGTTGAGCGACGAAAAGGAAGAGAAGCCAGAGCCGGCACGTAATGTGGTGGAATCAGAAAATGGCCAGTCTTCTTTTTATCAGAATCATGCTACATCTTCCGTAGCCACATCCAGAACGAGTAGTATGGTAACATCATCCAACTCTCTGTCGAACAATGTACATTCGACCAGTCAAAAGCTAGGGCCACCATATTCAGTAGTAAATATGGAATCTGACTCTGGCATGTCGAGTCCAACAGTAAGACGAGTTTTTGAGTCCTATGACAATGCAAAGGACGATTTGATCGATCACGACGATTTCAAGTATCAACGAAAATCGGCAGTAGAGTGGTTTTTGAGATGGTGGAAACTAATAACAAGACAGCAAGCACAGAGAAGAAACAGTCAGGGCTCTTTTCCCAAGCGATATGTAATTTTAGTGGTCGTCATCATTGCTGCCTACGTTTTGATAACGCTTGTGGCCTCTTGGCTCGGCAGAATGGCCACGGACGGCGACCCCTCGTTCGATCCTAAGAACAATCCATTGGTCAACGTCAACGAGAACAGCAACTAAAGAAGATAGATTTGTAAATACACCAAGGTGCTGTATGATGGATCGCTATTTTGTATCGCTAAAGAATCCACAAGTCTTGACTTTACACGTAACGCTGTGAGTGATAAATTAATCATCAAACCGATACTTTGACTTGAGTCTGCGTGAGTCATTACCATTCTTTTAAAGAGTTTTATGTGGCTTTAAAGAACTGCAGACAAGCGACGTAATATATATGTATATTAAACGAGAGCAGATCAATTTTGCTGTTTAAACTGATATTTATACATAGTCAAAGATTTGTTAAATCGTATCAATTTATAGTTTGTATAAAAATATATATGTAAATTGTATATCTTGCAAGTAACTTTAGTAAGCACTTTTTCTTATATACTTAGTTTTAAAAATATATTATATCGTTGCAAATTTTCATTTATTGTCATTAAGTAAAAAAAATTATTATTAATGAAAAATAAACGTGAAAAACTAAAATGTGTTATGAAGATAGTTTTATGTATACTTTTAGAGATACAATGTAAATAGTTCTACAAAAGTTTAAACCTAAAGCGGATCTTAGCAGCAAAAAATCGGGAAACAAATTATTCATTGGCCAGTGTGATTCAATTTATTATAAATTTCCATTTTGTAATACTTGAATACTTGTAAGGAAATTCAGTCAAATCAAAAAAGTCTTTTAAATCAAACAAGTGCACAAAATACGTATACTTTTTTCATTTGAAGTGAAAAAAAAAAAAAAAAAAATCGATCAAGCTTCTAAGAATAACGTGTTTTACATAGTTTGTTAAACAACGATTCTTCCGTCTCGCTGTATCGAATTTAAATACCATCAGAGGGAAGAATAAAAAAAAAAGTAAATCTTGATTGAGTTCTTTATTAACATGTCTTTACATGAAAATAAAATACACACTACGATTTCGTTGGTGTAAAAATTAAACCGAGCCTGAAAAAAAAAAAAAAAAAAAAAAAGAGAGATCCACGTAACGCCTAACTGCTGATACACGAGTCGCTGCATCTAAAAAAGGAATGAAAAGAATTTGGAGTTTCAGATGGATTTCGAGGAATCGCGGTGGGGGAAGTAACTAACTGTATAATATCCTCCATGCAACGGGCTGTCCCGCAACTCCGGGTCTTTCGGCTTTCTTAGTTTCTCGCTCTACTCGGCCAGTTACAACACTCGTCTCTCGCATTATCGAGTCACGTCATTACTCTTTTCTTTCCATTTTTTTTTTTTTTTTTTTTTTTGCCATGGATACTTGCAAGTAGTTCGTCGTCACCGCAAGAAACGTTTTTTACCCCCTTAATGGAGTGGACAAGTGATTTTGAAAAATGTTGACCGGCCAGTGGTAGCTGCATAGGTATATACACAAAGATCGGCGACACAATGTTAACGATCGCCCGTCCCAACGTCGAACGGCTGCTGAATCGACATCGAGCGTCTATCGTTGCCTCGTCCCGCATCGAAGCGAGGAACAACAGCAGCAATGGACCAGCAAACTCCATCGCGAGGATTTATTCATGTGAGTCGACATCGCGCTTCTCTATATCATTTCGAACTGTTGGAATTTTGTGTTGATATCGCCGACACATCTGTACGTTCGTGTGTAGTTTGGGTACAAAAGTTGTTTCCTTGCCAGTACAACAGTATACACTAATATATTTAAAATGTTCCGCGTGTGTTTGATTAAAAAAAAAAAAAAAAAAAAAATAGAATTAATCGTCATTCATAAGCAATGTAACACACAATTAAAAAAGTACTCAATACACGTGCGTGTATTATTAATTATATTCACGCAATGAAAGCATCAACAAAAGATCATCAGATGTCAGAGAGAGAGGAGATGACGCGCAGTAGGTATATGTATATACTTACTTATTGCGTGGGATGTACTTATATATAAATAGTTGTACATGCGGTACGGGGTTTTACACATGACACGTGTATACCTTATACACACTTGCACTTTAAACACATGTAAAAAAAAAAAAAAAAAAAGTAATTGTTGTCTTCGCTCGATCATAGCTGTCAGAAGTGTCGGTCGCGGTGTGGCTCGACTCTGGCAGGGGTTGAGCCGCGTGAGGCTGGACCGGCGCCAACTGACCGTTATAACCGGTTGCGATTCGGGCCTCGGTTACGGGATGGCCGTGCGCTCGGCAGAGCTAGGATCGTCGGTGGTGGCTGGGGTGCTCGACGCAGCGGGTCCAGGGGCCCAAGCGCTGGCGGGTCTGGATGGCGTCCAGGTCCTACCGCTCGATGTCACCGAGGAGCGCAGCCGGCGGGAGTTTGCGCGAGCGGTCGAGGACACCCTCAGGGACGAAGGGCTGAGTATGTGAAACCTTTTAAGCATCGAACGGCAAGAAAGAGCTGTTTAAAAAAAAAAAAATGATTTTTTTTTTACAATTATGTGCTTTTACTTTTTAAAAGTGACATCCAATCTGAATCCGTAGAATCACGATGATGGTTGAAACCTATACCATTGGAACTGCTTACCGATCGGCTGTACATTTTTTTTCTTTCTTCATTCATTCTTCATTATAAGGTCGAGTTGGTCCTTGTTTCATGGCAAGTTCAAATCTAATGAAAAAGAAATTGTCTGATTTTCAACTTGTACCGTGTCAAAGTGCTGTATTTACTTGAATTTGAAAACCATTCATTAATCGACGATTCAATTCACGCGTGTAGTAGATAAAAAAAAAAAAAAAAAAAAAAAACATCATATGTGCCAAAAATTTGACAACCACTTGTTTAAATTACCCATCGCCAACTGGAGAAACAACAGTTTTTTGAAAAAAAAAAAAAAAAAACACTTTCTTACCCCGTAATTTGTAGAGATTTCCTCTGTGCGCTTGTACCCAACGATTCATCGTAACGCTGATGTATACATTCGAGAGTTGAAATTGTTGTTGTTGTTGTTATTGTTTTTTTTTTACGATGAAAAAGGACAATTTCGTTCCCTCCCATAGAATTGCATGCTTTGGTGAACAACGCCGGAGTGATGGTGTTCGGCCTATTCGACTGGCAGGAGCCCGAGCACATAGAACACCAGCTGAAGGTCAACCTCGTGGGCCCGCAGCTCCTGACGCGAGCCTTGTTGCCGCTGATACGCCGCAATAGCGGTGCTCGCGTGATCAACGTGTCGAGCCACTGCGCCAAATCGGCTCTGCCCGGACTCGCGGTGTACGCCTCGACCAAAGCGGCCATCGAAACTTGGACCTGCTCGCTTAGGATCGAGTTCAAGAACTTTTCGGCTCGGGCCATCAGTTTCGTCCCTGGTAATTTACATGTGACATTTTGTTGTTTTTTGTTGTTTTTTTAACGAGCAGTGATTGGGTTATTGGTGCCGATCGACAGGTTCCTTTTACACGGAGAGCCGCATAATGGCTCGGCAGATGGAGTACTTCGAGCGGATGCGCGCAGCCATGAGCGACGAGACCAAGGCCTTCTACGGGGACTACTTCGACGCGTACAGCAAGTCCCTCGAGCCGCTCGCCGTTCAAACGAGGCACGATCTTTTACGAAACGAGGAGATACTTGGGGCCTTCGAGGGCGCGCTCATCGACAGAAGACCCTCGGCGAAATACAAGTGTGTTACTTTAACTTTTATCGACAAATGTCACGATATTGGATTGTCGGTGGCGAGCCATGGCTGATATTTTTACTTTGGTCCGCGCGACTTATACCTTACACTAACTTTTGGTGATGGTAATTTTTCCTATACGTCGCGTCATTTCGTTGGTCCGACGAAAGAAAGGAGTCAACTTAATAATATGTAGATATATAGTATTGAAAAATTTGTGCAAAACAATTTCAAATGTCCACTACTTGGTGTTCACAGGTGCGAGCCGTGGCGTTACAAGATTTATCACGCGTTTTTCGAGTACGCGCCAGTTCCCGTTAGAGATCGTTTGGTCGAACGATTCATACAGATGCCGAAATTCAAGCGACGCTCGTAGCAAGACACACTCTTTTAAAGGCTTATACGTTATACATGGATGGGGATAATTTACGTTTCCTATCAAATAGTAATTCAAAACCTTTTGTTTTCATCTTTCGATCATAATATCTATATTACTGTGCGTGAACCATACAATAATGTACATTGGGTTTATAAAAGGCGAGCTAATTAGTCCATGCTATTTCCAAGAATTGACGATAATGTTATCATCGATAGTTTAGTGCCACTTGAATGAACTTTGATGAAAACCAACAACTTTCCAGACTTTCGTTTACTATTCCGTGGAAACGTAGCGTTTGAGGTATAAGTTTAACATTTTACCCGAAGCAATGTATAATTACGTTACCGAGAAAATCCAAGTTTCCTCAAATTTAAGGCAATATTAAGTAGTTATGCATTTAAAGATATACCGTTTGAATGTAAAATGCACCGATTTTCAAGATTAACTAAAATTGCCCGTGCAAAATCTGATTTGCCTACAAGGTGGTTGTAGACATTTTTAATTTTGCCTTAAACTTGAGAAAATTGAGGTTTCGTTGAGATTTCGGGTTTTGCCGGTAACATAATCACACCGACCTCTTGAAGTAAATAAACACTTGGCACTACCTTGCTCACCTATATACAATTTCACTTTGCTGTAAGAATCAAACATGTATCTCTTACATCGGCATATTACGCAAGTTTGTTGAAATAAATATTTTTCCCATTAAATTAAAAATCGTTAAATTACATTATTAAAATTACATTAAATTTCTAAGAAAATACATGCGTATAGCACCTATATACTCTACGTAATGACGCATAATGTTATTTTGTTTTTAAGAGGATGACATTGTTAGTGAAATTTCATAATTAATAAAACCATTACCCTGTACGTGATTCACAAGTGAAACTTTGACCTCACCCGACATACATGGGTTTGGGATGGATATCGAGGATAATTAGGCTGACGTAATCGAACGCGATTAAGAAACCTGATAAAGGAAAAGCTTAACTTAATTACAAGGGACTTAAATGACACGATGGGTACAATACTTCAGTCGGTGTAACTTCAACGGTTCTGTCAGTCGTGTTTCTGGATGCAAACAGAAAACTATACCACAGCAACAAAAATGAAGTTCATCATTAATGGTAAATAATTTTTTTTTTACTCCATCTCTTATTCCATTTAACCTATGCACAAATAAACATTTTTAACTCACATTGCATACTAGAAGCTAAGGCTATCACATTATTATTATTTTTGTGCCGTGCAGTTTTCGTCGTTATTGCGTGTCTCGTGCACATGGCTTTAAGTGAATCGACCCCTTTCAAGAAGTGTAGTATAGGCAAGCCACCCCAAGACTTTGTAATTCAAGGTTGCACAGAGGAACCATGTATTCTCGTGAGAAACCGAATGGCATCGGCCAACATAAGTTTCATCGTTGGTGAGTGCAATGAAAAATTCGTTTGTTGTTAAAAAATAGTAGTGATTGAATAAAAACAATCTATGAAGCTATTTATTAGCTTTGAGTTGATTTAAAAAATTTTCGACCTAGTTTTTTTTGTATCATTTGTTGAATTATTAGATAAATAATTTATTTATTTTACGAATAAAAAAAATTTTTTTTTATTTTAGAAAAAAACAAAAACAATTTTTTTACTGTATGATTGCAGACAAGTATACAACCGTTTTGACGCCGCAAGTTGAGGTCTCAATGCCCGAAGTTCGTGGGCATATTTGGAAGATTTCACAACCCGAAAATAACGGCTGTGTGATGTTGTCACGAAATGAAACATGTCCTTTGAAAGCCGGTACGAAATCTACCTTGACTTACCATGCGTTTGTAAAGTTGCCTCACCGAAAAGCGAAAAAATTGGTTAATTTGCGTTTTTCTTTGCTGGATCAAGACAATGAGGTCCTCACGTGCTGTCAAATTGCAGTTAAAATCACTCGCTAAGTAAAATGTATACTTACCACTGAGATTTAATTTTTAATACGTAAATAGAAAAAAATAAAAAATTAAACTACACAACATAAATTCATAAAATATACATGTATATGTTTGCAACAGCACATCGTCTAATTTAAATTTTGACATTATTTCTTAACAATTAGTTTGTAAATTTTGCATGTATATTTATTATATAAAATACATATGTTTAAAAATATTACTTGAATAACTCCTATTGTTTTTGGAAGCTCTTGTTTTTTATTTATTAATAGAATTACAATTCGATATAATCCATACAAACCTTAAAGACTAATTGAAATATGTAAATAATAATAATACTTGCGAGACGCTGAATTTGGATGATATTGCTTTCATTTACATTTTAAGCGCAACAAGAAAAATGTGTACTATTGTTAGAGGATTTTTTTTACACATAATTGATGTCTACGAATTGCTCAATGCACAAATGCAGTTGGGAAGACTATTTATTGAATCGCCAGCCACATACCGTTGCCAGAATAAAAGCTCTTCTTTCCATTTCGTTGGTCATTTTTGCAAAGACGTGGTCAGATTTTTATACAATCGTGTCAAGTTCTTTTGTATGATTCCTGAAAAATAAATTATAATTATTGTTATTGTTATATTCCATATGACTTATACATTTGATGTCATAGTGACTGCAAAATGGATTTCTACAATGTAGAGATTTCTTAAATTATTAGAATACTACTAGCTGATTACTATAATTATTACTGTCAAAATTATAATTGAATAAAGTTTGCACCTAGATAATACAGTATTTTTTTATTTCTTTTTTTTTTTTAATAATCCGAAATATTTTATATTAAACAAAATAAATCATTTTTCAAAACGGAGCCACGATTTTGTACCCCCTTTAATTTACAGGAATAGTGTTAGCGAAGAAAAGGGGAGTTTTTGTTGTTCCCTTTGGATACATCAGACGAAAACAGAATTGGAAAAGCTAAGTTTGACTTGTCCCGAGGCTGCCGGCCTATCCTTTTTTGCGCTACAAGCAAAAAGTTACTTGTACACTAAATAAGTTTTACATCGATTTTTCACGAAAAGTTAAAGGAAAATGAAATTCCTAATGCAAATCACGTGTATAAATTCACACTGTGCATGTACTACGAGTACTAGTAAGAATGTGAATGTAGTTTCACCATTTAATTTCAGCTCGTGATAGATAATTTGTTAATCAAGTCGAGTAGTGGATTTATAGCTAAGACAGCTCATGCATTATTTAATAGGTGATAAAGTGCAGTATATGCTTGTCCACATCATATACACACGTGTGAATGTACATCGCAACAGATCGGAAAAAGAAAAAGCTACCTTGAAAATGTAGTTTTACTTAAATTTGCTTCCGATAGAAAAAAAATCTTATAAAAATTTTCATTTTATTGTTTAGCAGTTTTCAACTGTCGAAACAGATTTTCTGAAATATCGTATTCCTTACTCGAGCTGTTGATGTACATTAGACGGATGTAAAAAAGAGCGACGAGCACGACAGATCAGAAGTGAGGAAGCTAATGAGAAATAAGAGGTCACAGAAGTGAGAACTACTCGCCATTGTCAATTTATTGCTAATTAAAGTAGACCCTCGTCTCTTCTAGAACGACCCATTTGTTTTATTTATTAATTTCGCCAGCGTTTATATACATCAGATTGCAATATTTACAACTTTTTACACATCAACACGCAATACGTAGATGTTCGTTGTTTTTTTTTTTTTATCGCAACTCAGTTATCGTGTAAAGTACTTACTCGAAAGACGCAGATAATCAACGGAAGCTTCTATATCATACTTACAGTAGTGTGCTGTTACAGCACAGGACACACAAGATAAGCGTGACATAAGAGATCGAGATAAGTGCACGAAGTAAGTATCATTGCCCCGTGAGAAAGTGATAATGCACTTTTATTAATAAAATCATACCAGTTAATGCAGTTAGACGAACTTTCGAAATTTTGTTTCGTAAATCGTTAATTTTTTTTTTTTTTTTTTTTTTTTCAAAGTTCAACAAGATTGCCTTTTAATGCGAAAAAGAAAAAAAAACCGTAATCGCCACACTTAGATTTAGAAGAAATTAAAAAAAAAAGGAATTTTATCTCCTTTTTACGTAAGTATATACATCTATTTTTTTCCCAACGGTTGCGTTAGCACACGTTAAAACGTGAAAACCTCGTAAAAACAAACGTACAGCTGCAACAAAGTCGGGGGGCGGATAAAACATGGTACAAGGGTGAAGGGTTGGGAGGGTTACGCGGTGAAAGACCCGTCGTGCGTAAAAAGTCAAACACCTGAGAAAAAGGACACCGTTGTGTTAACATAGTTTCAAGTATATGTATTGGAACTGTTTTGAAATAAACTACTCGGTCGGTTAATGGGCTGTTTCTCCCATTACAATATATGTATATCAACCCGTTATAATCTTTATTAATTACCGATCTCTCGTTATCGATTATAATGATACCTATACGATAAACTTGATACAGAGTGACTGCAGGATATGTGCGAGTTTGTGCGATCGTGATGATCGGTATAACCGGTGAGTGAGTGATCGCGACATACTCTCACACACTCTAGCGTATAAAAAAGAGTACCTACCAACATGTGTTCGCGTGCTGACTCACCAATGTGAAATGAGAGAGCGAGAGAGAGAAAGCTCACGCGCGCGAACAATATATATATATATATATATACACATGCGTGCAAATGCATAATAACAATTGACTGCACGTATTATTTGACATTTGGCAAAATCCTCCAAATTCAATGTTAAGGTTGTACCGTCAAAATTAATTCGTGATGTGAAAAATAGAAAAGTAAAAAGAAAAAAAAATTGAAAAAAAAAAATTCAACAAATGCAGGGTGGATATCTATCATTGTTGAGCAGTACCGGGGATAAGCCACTAGAATACTGGAGCAAACAGAAATCAAGAACAGGATCGATCCAACGAGTCCTCGACAAAGAACTCAACGAACGCGTAAGTTTAGCTAAATGATTAGCGAAATGTATTTTGGCGAATAAACGAATTTCCGTGTCTGTTGGGGGGAAAAACAAAAAATAAAACAACAAAGGTTTTGGAAATCCAAGATGTCGAAGACGCAAATTGCCAAAAGACCTGGATCATGTGTCCGCCCGCTACCGATCAAATTCTCGACGTCAAGCTACCCGTACTCGTGATAATACTAAAGAGCCTGCAGTCCCACTTGTTGATACAACTGCAAGTGGCCGACAAGGATGACATCCGCCACTTGATCAACCTGACGAACGTCGAGGCGAGCAAAAAGAAGACGGAGGCCAAAACGGTGATCAGCCCACTGAAGATGCACCTGGCGCTCGAGCCCGGCTGGAACAAACTCGAGTTGGACCTCGGCCAGCTGTGCAAGGTGTTTGGGGCGCGGTTCGGCGCGGTGACGAGGCTCAAGATATGCGCCAACTGCAGGATACGCAGGCTTCACTTCCTCGACAGGCACTACGAAGACGATGAGGTGTCGGTAGCGCTGTACCAGGGCTTTTTAGACCACTACATGTCCAAATGGGGCATCAGGGCGATCGAGCGGGCGACGCAGACCAAAAAAACGCTCGGCAAGCCCGGGAAGGACGCCATCGCCCCTACCGTCAATACACTTACCAAATTGTTCCTGAAGAGCATCCAGTCCAAATCGGACAGGGCGATAGACCAGCACATGTCGAGGAACCCGCTGGTGACACCCAAGGATTACGTCGAGTTCAAGAGAAAGGCCAAAATCAAGCCCTACGCCATCCCGGACAAAAGTAAGCTCAAGGGGAAGAAGAGCTCGGAGTCGAATTGGGACCTGAGCCAGATCAGAGACAGTTTCAAGCAGTATGAAAGCCTGAACTTGTACGAAAAGTCAGCTGTCAAGGAGAAACCCGAAAAGAAGCCTGACACTGCGGTGCCCGCAACGTTTGTCGAGAAGCAGGAAATTAAGAACTTGATGTACAAAGTTTACAGGTATAGGTACCCGGTGTTGACGGACACGAAGCCGAGCGAAGCCAAAAAGGAAGTTCCAACCACAAAATATTCTGTCGTGAAGAAATAAAACTATTTAGTTTAATTATTTTGTTAAATCATTAATATTACCTGTCTCAAACATTGAGTCACGGCAGCAGAGACGATGGACTCTGATGTTCCTGATTTGACTTGGAAAAGGTGCAGCTTGGCGGCGGTGTTGACGATGGGACAGCTTAACTTTGGTCCGCTTGAGAAAGCTGTCGTGACGCCTTTTTTAATGGCAAGCATGTACTTTTGCTGTATAGCTGCTATGTTGGAAGCACAATCCTTGCCGTGATCAAGAATGAGCTGGTCCTTACCCTTGTAATCTGGAACCACTGAGAACGTCATGGAAACTTCATGCTTGGAATTGGCGATTTCGTGCTGAGCGACGTACATGTCTTTTACTGGATTTACAATAGTTTCCTTATAAGCTATTTGCAATTCTCCCAATTCCACGTCAATTTTGTACTCCCTTCGTACTCTTTCTTTTATAATATCAATGTGCAGTTCGCCCATTCCACCTAAAATTATTTGGTCATTTTCAGAGTCGTAATTAACTCGCAGACTGGGATCTTCTATCTCTAGTTCTTGAAGAGCTGACTCTAAAGGCGCAACATAAGTCAGGGAAGGCGGTTCTATGGAACAGAAGAAAACAGGATCTGGTACACTTGTTCCAATAGAAAATAACTTTTCTACATCTCCAGGGCATAGGGAGCCACTGGTTGTCACTTGTTTTTTGACACCACTTGCTACAGAGCTGGAATTCGTCAGTAGATCTCCCGTAACTGTGTACTTCAAGCCTGTAAGAGCTGCAATGTTACCCGCGCCTACCTCTGAAATTTCCTCGTAATCGTCGGCATAGGCTGCGTAAAGTTTTGCACTCATTTCAGTTTTATCCCTTTGAACGTTGTAGATTTTCTGATTTTTTGACAGTGATCCTGTGTACACTCTAAAAAATGTAATCCGACCTTTCTGCTTGTCATGGATGATTTTGAATACTCTGGCTGACAAATGTTTACCAAAACTCCTGTACAATTTTGCTAACTGATTCTGATTTGGAGTTGGGAGGTATAGTATTACTCCATCCATTAGAGATTGAACACCAATATTTTTGTAAGAACTGCCCAGTAGCACTGGAACCCCTTTACGCGATACTGTTGCCCTGTACAAAGAATCAACTAGAGCTTGAGGAGGTACCTTGTCCAACGAGTCCTGTTCAATAATTGTATTTGCCAGTTCATCATCTACACCAGACAACTTGTCAGTAAGATATCTCCTTTGCTCTATAGCTTCTTCCAAAAGTTCTGAATTTTCATCATCAACAAGTTGCGTCTTTGTAACAGTTCTCCCTCGTGCCTTCTTATCGAAAATAACTTTTTCCAGAGTGATCACATCAATCAACCCTGCTAACCCATTTTTATCTTTAAAAGGCATATGCACTGGAAACGTGACAGCATCCAATCTCGATTCCATAGATTTTAAGCACATCTGAAAATCGGCATCAGGCCTGTCCATCTTATTCACATAAACTATTCTAGGCAAGAAATATCTATCAGCTTGTCTCCAAACGGTTAGTGTCTGAGCTTCAACTCCAGCACTGCCATCGAGCACAACGACCACTCCATCCAACACTCCAAGAGTTTGTTCTACACCCATAGTAAAATCTATATGACCAGGGGTATCTATTAAATTAAACCTATGGTTCTTCCAACTAAAAGTAACAGCTGCAGAGCAAATTGTTATTCCTCGCTGTCGTTCTTGATCCATAAAGTCTGTAACTGTACTTCCTTCGTGAACTTCACCCATTTGCTCTATGGTGCCAGAATAGTACAACATGCGCTCCGTTGTTGTTGTTTTTCCTAAAAAATTGATTTTTAATTATTAATTATTAATGTGACCACAGCTATTTGACTGGTACAAAATACTACTCATAAATAGGTTATAACACTGTTGGTATTTTTACTTGACAAATCAATCAGTACAAACGAAAAACGTTCTCCTAAATCGCATGAAAATTAAACGTTCATTAATAATTTTTTATAAATACGTACCGGCGTCTATGTGGGCGAGTATACCGATGTTTCGTATACTTTCGATGTCGCATTTTTCACTAGCAACTTGCACTGCACTTTTTTGATGCAACGAACACTTGCGAATTTCATAAATACATGTCCTTATAACATTTCTAAACAGCATTATAATAAGGTAATTTGGTTTGGTAAAATTGACACTCTCTGTCAATTAAAGGGACATTCTTATCGTTGCATCACTGTTCATAACTACATAAACACACGTGGAACTATATATATAT